GTGTGCCCTTTATTGAACTCCTTCCCTTGCAGTGCTGCACATCTGTAACCTCTGGACCACTTCATCTTTCAATACATTGTCACTTCAGCAGATACAGACTTAACCCAAGACCAAAGGGCAGACAGCTGGAGGTCTGGACTTAAAACACCCAGCTCCCTGTACAGTGACACACTTGATAAAATACCATAATGAGAGGTTAACTCGCCGCAGTGTCCGTTTGAACCTGCATTTCCCTCGGCACCCACATGTAGGATGCAAGGTGCTTCCTGATGATACCGCTCCCTCCCATCGGACAGCTTTGCTTCCTACTCGGTGCAGTGAGTGGAGCCGGGTGCCGGGCACTGTCCTGTTTGTTATGACGAGAGGGGGCAGTTTTCAGGGACGGTATCAGGGTTTTTCCTGCCTCAAAGTGAGCCTTTGGGGGATGACTACACAGGAAAGTAAGGAGGAAGTGAGTCCTTGATTTTAGAATCTGTATTAAATATGAACCGTGCAGATAAAACAAACATGTTTAGCTCTTTATTTGCAGTTTTTAAAACTTACAGTTGCAAAGTGAAAGTTTTCAGTAAACCGACCTGATGTAAGGAGGACGGTTAAAGGGCTACAACTGTGAAGGCTGTGGATTTGAAATAAGCCGGTGGAACATCTGAAAGTCTCTGATCTGATGGGTGAAAAAGTCACAGTAAACTAGAATTGGGGGGAGAATTAAAAGGTGTAATGAGCTGTGGGGTAATGTGCATATAAGGAAAACAGAAGGGGCCCGAGGATTGAAGCCTGAGGGACGCCACATTGGAGTAGCAGATGAAAACATGTAGTGCAGATCTTAATACTATCGCTGAAGTTTATGTGGGATAAGTATGAAAACCATTCGAGAGCAGTGCCAGAGATACAACCAATCTGTCGGCTAGAAGGACGTGGTTAATGGGAGCAGCGCCTTGAGATGGTAGTATCAGTTCATACTCATTTGATGTGTCAGACATCAACGCTCAGTGCGCTCCTGCAAAAACATTCTTAATCTCACGAGTTTCACTTCCATAAAAAGATGAATGAATAAATAAAAATGAGCAAAGCAATCAAATGTTTCAGTCTGACCAAAAAACAAACTTCAGTGTGTAACCGCGAGGCCACGCTGAGCTTCACGCCGTCCACCCTGTTTAACTGTCCCTGCCTGCAGGCCGGCCGAGTGCTCCTGCCCCCCCTCCTCCAGCCTTCTCCCATCAGCTGAAAGGAGACATTTATCAGACAGGGTGATAGTCAGCAGACCTGCACATTGGCTTCTGTTGTCATTAACTGTAGTGCATTTCGATTAGTTGTGTTTTCCTTCCCTCGCTCCCCGGTTGTCAGCATAGAGAGGAACATCTACTCACTCGCTTTCTAGTGGCTTTTGCTGTCTTTGTTGCTTCGTGTGCTATTAGTTCTTTGTTTTTTCATTTTAGCCTTGGGTTTGATAACACGGGCTTTACATGTATTTAACGACGTTCTTATTTCGGGGCCCCAGAAAGCGTGAGCAGATGGTCAGTGAGGGCTGCAGACGTGTACACTACATTAACCGTATTTCTTTTTTCTGCTTGTTTTCTTAGTGTCTGTCTGAGGGGTGCTCAGCCATGCACAATAAACCCTGTTAGTTACCGGCAGACTTTGCTCTGTTTATTATTCTGTTGCTGGCTCCCCCAGACGTACATGTGGGCTGTTGTTCCACATGCTGCCTTCTCTCCTTTATGTCTCGTAAAAGTTCACTCAGGCAGATGTTTGAAGGGTTGTTCTGAAGCACAGTTTGGGGCTTTAAAAGAGGACAACAAGTTGGCTTCAGCACAGTTTGCAGCTGACAAACTATAGACTGTGTTGCAATGTAGGTACTAACACAGGACTGTGTTGTGACACTGAGCAATC